CAAAAAAAAAAAAAAAAAAAAAAAAAAAAAAGTCCCCGGGAAACAGAGAATTTTTGAAAATGTTGGAGTTTTTTTTTCCCCTTCGCCCAAAGCTTCTTCCTCCGGGCTTTTCCCATGGCTGCTCCCCTCTTCCCTTCCCTCCCCCCAATTAATAAATAAACCGGCGGTGTAGAAATCCGCCCCGTTTTCGAAGAGAAATCCATTCGTAGCGTGGAGTTAAGATTTCGAGTCTTTTAATGGGGAGGAGGAGTGATCTGCCCGGAGGAGTTCTGAACGGCGTGGAATTAAAGACGAAAAATTGATCTCCAAATATTATTCTTCGTTTGCTGTTGCTCGAATCGGAGCTGAATGAAGGACGGAATTAAATGTTCCTAAGGAACATTGTTCGGAACTCACCACTCCCTCCCACCGCATTAGAAGTCAGCCTTATATTTAATAGATCACACTTGTGATCGGAAACAAACAAAACAAAGCAAAAAAAGCCTTTTTGTGCAGTTTGTAGTGATTGAAATTAAATGGGAAGTTTCACATGATAGAATGTTACCCAAAGCTTTCTGACCCCTCCGCCCAGATCATGCAAAACAGCCACATTTTATTTTTAGGGAAAGTGGAGCTGCATGGAAAACAGCTAGAGATTGAACACTCAGTACCTAAAAAGCAAAGGTAATTCGGTGTTTTAATTACTTTTTCTGTCTTTTTGTTGTATTTATGTATTTTTTTTTTTCCTTTGGAGTGGGGGAAATAATAACGTAAGAGGAAGGAGGCCAAAAAAATTATATCCAAATATGTGCATGTGGAAGGAGATATGGTGGTGGTTTGGCTTTGGGTAATGGCCCAGCGAGGTGAGGAGCGGTTCTGAGGATCAGTGCCCCCCTTTCTTATCCGTAGGGTCTTTTGAAAGGAAGCTTTTCTTTGGGTTTAAGGGTTGTTTTTTTGTTTGTTTGTTTAAAATGAAAAATCCCCCCCCCCCCCAAAAAAAAACCAACCCGACGATTCGCCGCCCCTTCGTTTGCCCAAGTGATGAATGGCGTTTGGGGTTGGGATTTTCAAACTTGTGGCACTGGAAGAATTTCCCAGCCTTTCCCCGTGAGAAGGGGCTCGAAAACCTTTTGTTATTTGGATGGAACCGCCAAGTTTGTTTAATAAAACACTCTTGGCTTATTTCTCCTTCGCGGGTGAAATTTGCCGGGATGGAGGGCGAAGGCTTAAAAACGGGCGTCAATAATTACATAAAAATGGGGCCGGCTGCTTGTTGGTGCAAGGTTTCAGCCCGGCCATGCAGGGTGCTGGCTCAGCTTCTGGCTGCCCCCCCCAACTTGTTGTTTTTGGGGCTAAAACCCCATTTCTTCACGCTCTCTTTGGGCGTCGCGGCCTTCCCCGGCCCTCCCCATCTTCTTGGCCCTTTGTTGCTGAGGGCGCGCGGGACGCCGAGCCTGGAGGACTTGAGGGTGCAGGCAGCAAACTGCTGGGTCCAGGAGGGAGGAGGGGGTTTCACTGTTGCTTGTTGGGGGGGGGGGTCTTGGGGGGTGATGCTGATTCTCTCCCCCCACTGAGCTGGGGGAGCTCTCCTCAAGGCTCTGTGCCCATGCTGGGCCATGCAGCCGCTCCGCCACGTGATGGGGCGGCCGCCCCGGCGCTCAACGTGGTGCAGAGGGAAGGGAAAAAAAAAAACAACAACTCTTCTTCCCTAAACTCTGGGGGGTTTTTTATTCTGCTGGCCGAGGATCCCTTTGGGGGAGCTGGTTTGAACCCGATTGCGAGGCTGTAGGTTTTTGGCGACGGTCCTTTTCCTCGCCAGGGGGTTGTGCCTTGTGGTGGGGCCGACCCTAAAGGCAGGACTCCATTTAATAACGTCCCCTGTAGGGTTTGTTTTTTTTCTCCAGACCCTCCTCGTGGAAAGGGGATCGATATCGGTCGTTATAAGGCTCGGAGTCTCCCCGTGGCTCCCAGTATCAATGAATCTAAGTGTGTTATTGGAAAGGCAATTATCCTATGAAGGGTAACGTAATAACGCCGAGAAATAAATCGGGGGGGAGGAAGAAAAGAAAAGGGGGGGAAGGGAAGGGGATGCATCACGATTTTTTTACTTATCTGTAGTACTTTTGGTGATCAATGGGGTTGGGGGGGTGCAGAGGATCTCAGAGTGTTTCCCTGCTCCCCTCTTTTCCCCCCTCTGACTTTTGCTAAGAGCACTCCGGGAGAAATTCAATGGAAATGTAAATATTGCTTTGGCGTCTGTAATTCAAAGAAATGCTGGGTGAAACTTTACAATGGGTGGAAGCAAAGGGAAGGTTCGTTAGCGTGGTTTAATGAGAACCAGGAGAAGTGCAGTTCATTACGTTTGGTGGCTAAATCCCGGGCTGGGGGTGAGAAGGGGCTTTGGTTTGAGCCCCATAACCCCATCCGCTGCCTTTAAAGCTGCAGGAGCCATTTTTGCTGTTGACTTTCTTCATGTGCTTTGCTGGAAAATCGCCTCGTCAGCCGAGATGGGGTGGCTGGATGCTTGGTGGAGAGGTTGCTACAGTTTCTTTGCCTCAGTTTTGGGATGCCAAGTTTGTGTTTCTGGGCCAGCAAAGGCAACTGTGGCATAGCTGCAAACTCTGCAGGTTGTTGGTGGACTTTTCTGCCTGTTTTGCTTCCCTCCCCTCTCTCTGGATAAAGGCTGCAGTGATGGCACCGTCTCTGGTTTTGAAGTTGTTGCCTTCTTTTTTTTTTTTTTTTCTTTCTTTTTCCTTTCTGCTTGTTTTTTAAGACAGGATTTTCCAGTTTAAAGCACACAGAGCAGGATATGGTTAATTAAGTGTGAGCGGAGAGGACGAAATCAGATGGGTTTTGATGTGATCTAAACCCACCTCCCCCAGCCTTGCGTTTAGATCTGCGTTATTTTCATGCAGAAACGTGGGAAAGAAAGCGATGGTCAACGATGTGCTTTGGAGATAACCTGCAAAATAAAACTCAGCTCGATGGTTGTGTTTCTTTTCATTGAAATTGCGAATGCTGAAGTTCAGGAGAGCTGAGCTGGGTGCTTTTGGGGAGAAACGCATGCGATGAAACTGCGTGCTGTAAATAAATCTCCCCCGCTGGTGTCTTTTCTTCATTAAAACCCCTCTTGTCCTTCAGTCCTGCAGCAGGAATGGGATAAAAAAATGGAGAATTTGTGAATGTGGTGTGAGAGAGCGATTCACAACAAGGACAAACTGCTTTAGAGCTGTTTAATTACAGTGGATTTTTTTTTTTCCTCCAAATAACACCCAAAGCTGCAACTTATTGTAGGAATCATTGGGAGCTATTTTGGGGAAAAAAAGAGAAAACGACAGCGAAACTGTAAAACATCACTGTTGAAAAAAGGGTCGTTGCTGATAAATGCATTGTTTCGTTAAAAACAATGGGTTTAAATCAATCTAACCATCGTTTGTTCTGTTTTGGAGTTTTTTTTCTGTTCACTTTGCTGATGGAAAAAAGTGAGGAAAGCTAAAAGTGTGTTTTCTACAGTCTGAAAAACGATTACTGTTTATTCTTTGGAAGGTTAAAAATAAGGAAAAATACTCGTTTTTAAGACAAAAAAAAAAAAACGTTTGGTTTTCCAAGTCGAGATTAAAATAAAGAAAAATAAATCAGAATGGGGGGTAGAGGTGGAAGCTCCAAACCTGAAGGGAGCTCAGTCGAGAGCATTAGAAAGAATGAATGAAGGAAGGAAGGAGGAGGGGCGAGGGGGGGAAAAAAGTGAATCCATCAAGCAGACATTCCAAATATGAGGAATGTGGAAGTGAGTCGACCAGAGAGAATGAAACCGAGTAATTGGGGGGGAAGAGGGAGTTGGGTTGATAAGAGGCAGTAGGCTTAAAGCTTGGGAGGGTTCTGCTCTGCGTTCAGAATGGGTCAGCGAGCTCCTGAGTGGAGGTGGGAATTGTGGAATGGTGTGAAGGTGCATGGAGTTGGATGGAGAAACCCGAAAGCTGCGTTTTGCTTTTAAGTCCTTGCTTGAAACCTGTTTGAAACGCCGTGTGTGTGATCGTGTGGTTAAGTGTGGTGGAAAACTGTAGGACTTTTGGTAGCAGCTAGCGTGCCCTCTTTGTTTGTAAATAGCAATCAGAAAACGGTGCCTTTCTTCCCCCCCCGTTTTGTTTTAATTGTGTGCAAATCGAACAGGGGGCAAAGAAAGAAGTTTGGCCGTTCTTTCTCACGTCAAACGAAGGTGGTTCACCGAAACGTTGAGACAAAACATATTCTTAATCCGTTCCTAAGACAATCCCCCTTAAAACAGGTCTGTTTTACAAGTTACAGCCTTATTAAAAAATAATTAGGAACACCCCGATGCACTGCAATGTGTGGGAATGGCGAGGCAGGAGGAGAGCTCCTTTCTGGGGGGGTTGAATGTGGGTCAGTTTGTTCTGTGTCTCTTGATTTCCCCCCCAAACCGTGGTGGTAACATTGAGTTCTTCAGTTTAATCTGAGCGCCCATTTTTGATCCGGGAGCTTCGCGGTGCTGAGTTTGGATTGCTGAGATGGCTTGGAAATGAATGCCTTTTAACGATTTCCAGGTAGAAAAACTAGAAATAATTTGTAATTCAATTAGGGATTAATAATTTGTCAGCAAGTTTCGTCAATTAGGTTCAGAGCTGGGGTAATTTAACCAATTTTAACGTACTGGGGAAGGAGGAACGTATTTAACAGTTTGCAGTCTGAAGTTAAAGAAATCCTCCTTATTTCCCCTTCTCCAAGCAGGAGCAAGGGCAAGAAATTGCAATTTCGCTGTAAGTTCTGCAGCCTCAAGTTTAGAAAGCACTGGAGATGGAGTTTGTCCTGCCTAGATGCCCTTTAAGTGTTTGAGTTTTTTGGAATTAGGAAGAAAAGAATAAATTTGGTAGCAGTAAAACAGAGCTGCCACATCAGTGGCGCTTCCAAGGGCTGAGTTTCCTTCTCCAGTTTAACCTGTGTTTCTGTCTTTGCCTTTTAGGTTAAAAACCAGGCAAACAAAGCTCAGAGATATGGATAAGAGAGGTGGGGTTAAAGTGCTTGCTTTGAAAATGGAGAGCTTTCAGGATGAGAAAAAAAAATAAATTAAAAAAAGAGAGGATTTTTGCCCTCTCCTCTTCCAGCCTGAGCCCCCAGAAATGCTCAGAGTTTTCCAGAGTCAGCAGTGGGTTTGGGGAGGGGGGGTTTGGGAGGATGGGGTTGGCTCAGGGCTCTGCAGTTTGGGGGAGATGGGAGGGTGAGGCAAGGAGGAACTGCCTGCAGCCCCTCCACAGCGCGTGCCTTGCTTCCAAATGTGCTGAATGTAGCAAGTTGGGGATGCCTGCCTGCTACTTCAAGGCAGCTAGGAAGTTTTGTTTTTTTCCCTCCTTTCCTAACTGGTTTGATCAAACAGCTGGTTTGGTAGAGCTCTGGTTTGGAGATGGGGAGAAATGGGAGGCTGAAAGTGTAGCGAAGCACCGGGGGACGTCAGAGCTGCTCCCAAAAGTGAGGGAGAGATGAGAGACGAGCAGGAGAAAGGAGTTGTGGACCTGGGTTTGTAGTTGGCTTTTGAGGAAATGCATTTTGGAGGAGCTGCAGAGGCTTTCTGGGGGTTTTGATTCAGCGGAGAAAGAAAAGATGATCAGATGCTGCAGGTGAAAACTCTCATTTTGAGCATACCTGGAGGCACTGATAGCTTAAAGTGAAGG